AAACTACTACTACTAGCCTTTTAGAAAGGTGAGCTTGCCTTTATATGCAGCGTTTCCCCTTCCCAAAGGATTCAATAGATCTAAAATTGCCAATCTAGTAACTATGCTAGTTTGTTAATTAACTTTCTTCCATGGTATGTTAAATTCATAATATTTTATTTTGGAGTATTATCTTTCAAACTCAAAGTAAATTAGTTGTTCAGCTGTTGAAGTCACTGAGAAGGAACCACAAATGAAAACAAGAAAAGTCTTTAGTAATTTGAAAGACAAGAAAATGGTTGAAGACTGTGAGTGAACCTGAATAATGAGTTACAGTAATATAAAAAGAATAATTAAATAATTTCCACTTGTTTTTTTTGTCAGTTGTAATTCTGCAAAAAACTAATGAATTACTGCAATTTTTTAAGGTAACAATAATACTTTAAAAAGTAGTCATGACCTTTTTAAAAGACATACTAGAATGTTTTAAAATGTAATATGAGAGGTTTTACCTGAGATAAGTGAAAATATAGTCCCCAGGTGAGCAAGATTTTTCTGTAAAGGGCTTGATTTATTTTTTAGATTTTTACAGGTCATACAACGTCTGTTGCTACTAATGAGCCCTACATTATAGCAGGAAAACAGCATGGACACAGAGATTCTCTGTGCTCCAATGAAGTTTTATTTACAAAAGCAGGAAACAGGCTGGATTTGGTCTGTAAGTCACAGCTTTCCCAACCACTGGTATGAATGAAGCAAGATTTATCATGATTAATAATTCAGGATATTAGAGCTAGGGTAGTGGTAGGCTCTGCACTTAATCTCCAGCATTATGAAAAAAAATTGTAACAGCTCAGTGATAATTCAGTAGAATATAAAAGTTATTATACTACTCAGTGTACTTTTTATATATTTAAATTTTTCATAATAAAATTACTATTAAAATCAAAAACAAAGTTTGGACAAGGTATAGAGAAGAGGATTGACTACGAGTGTATGGTAAGATCATTAATCCTTAATACACATTAATAGTTAATGATCTGATTCACTAGTTTCCTTTTTATACAATCTGTCTTTTCATTTTAGTGATACATAGGTTTGAACTCAGGGCATTGTATTTTCTTGATAAGGCACTGTTTTACTTTAGTTATCTCTCAAACTGTTTTGCTTTTTCCCTATCTAGCTTGGACTATGATCCTATTTTTAATTCTGGAGTATCTAGGATGAGAGCTATGTGGCACTGTGCCCAGTTTTCTATTTTGCCTAAAGATGGCCTCAAACCATCATCCTTGTAACCTTTGCCTCCAAGTATTTCAAGCATTTGCCTCCAAGTATTTCAGGTTTGAGCCACCGTAGCTAGGTGCCTATTTTTTTTATTAAATGCACTCAAGTAGAATATTTGTGTCTGAGCTTTAAGAACTGTGGGTTTTCTTTGTGTTTCTTTCTTTAAAATTTTTTTTTCTTGCCAGGCATGGTGATACACTCCTGTAATTTGGCACTCAGGAGGCTGAGGCAGGATGACTCTAAGTTCAAAGCCAACCTGAACTATATAGCAAAGCCCAGTCTCAAAGAAAAACAATAAAAAAAGAAAACATTTTCTTTGTAAGTACTAAATTTAAGTATGCTTAAATTCAAAAAAGCATTTTGCTTTTTAAAACCCTCACAGAAATTGATTTGTGTGTGTGTGTGTATGTGTGTGTGACTTGTGGGGCTTGATCTCTGGGCCTGGTCACTGTCCTGAGCTCTTCAGCTCAAGGAAAGCTCTACCACTTCCAGTTTTCTGGTGGTTAATTGGAGTGGTTAAGAGTCTCACCGACTTTTCTTGCCCAGGCGGGCTCTGAAGCTCAGTCCTCAGACCTCAGCCTCCTGAGTAGCTAGGATTACAGGCGTGAGCCACCGGCACCTGGCGAACATCTTTTGTATAGAATTGTACAACTTTGAGTCACAATGCTGTTGAAAGTTCTTGGTTCAAGGTACTCCATACCAATGGCCATGTTACATAATACATTAAAGAGAAAAACATACCTTTAATTTTATTTTTACTTTTTTGCTGGTTCTAGCATGAACTCTGGGCCTGGGCGCTGTCCCTGAGCTCATGTGCCCGAGGCTAGCACTCTATCACTTGAGCCACAGCTCCACTTCAGGCTTGTTTTGTTGTTTAGTGGAGATAAGAGTTTCATAGACTTTCCTGCCAGGGTGGCTCTGAACTGCAATCCTTAGATCTCAGATTCCTGAGTAACTGGAATTACAGGCGTGAGCCACCAGCACCAGGCAATACATAAGGACACACTGTGTTTAATAAGATAAATTTAGTGAATCCAGAACAGAAACTGAAATGAAGAAAGTGGAAAGTGGACCTGCTAGAGTCTGAGCAGAACAGTAGATACAGTTCATACCTTTTTTTTTTTTTGAGGGAGTGGGTAAAAGTGTCCAGACAAAATGGAAATCAGAGATGAATTCACTGCCTAAAAGTAGGGTCTGGGTTGATTGCAATTGCTCCCTTCCTCCCCTTTACAAGGAAACTAAAAATAGCTGCTGCTGTCACTTGGCACTAAAGCTCTATGGGAAGTTACAAGCTCCACGAGCAGAACCTGATGCAATTATGGAGACTGTGATAAAGCACTGGCCCCAAATTTTCTCACCTACCTGTACCTGTACCCACACTCATTATCACTGGAACTTTGACATTATTCTCATAAAAGTGGTTTATTCTACTTTGACTTTGGATACAGCCAATGGGATGTTCAGGGATGTCATGAGAGCAAGAGCTTGAAATGTGCTATGGAGTAGATTTTTGCTCCCCAAGCTTTCTGCCACCACAATGAGATGTTTCCCAAGGTTAGGTGTTTCTCTGAGACTCAACTGACCTTACTTCGCTTAATATAATTGTTTTGTAAGTCTTCCCATTTCCTTATGAATGGTACAACAGCATTCTTTCTGATGGGTCCCAGAGAAACATAGGTTGCATGGCTTCTCTCATTTGTGGTAGCTAGAATGTGCCTGTGAATTTACAAGTAAACACACTGGGTGGTAAGCAAGGGGTTACAAATGAATTAAGTGAAGAGTAATAGGTTCTATGGACAGCACAAATATTATTTTAAGAGACTAAGTGAAAGGCTAACAAAATAAGTATAAGGAAATGGGGAGGAGGGGAGCCAGAGGAAGAGGGGTGGAAGAATAAAGGGGGAAAAGGAGGAAAATGCAGGCACAAATTCACTGTATATGCCACAGAATTGAGAAATATAAGGGAAGGGGTGGGTTGAACAGGGGTGAAGATGTTGAATGATAACACGGATCAAGATCCATTCTACACATAAACTGTTCAACGGCAAAAAATGCACTAATAAGTAAGGGAAGGGGTATGCTGAGAAGAGTGGGTGACAATGTTGAAAGGAGTTACATTGATCAAGACACCCATTCATAAACTGCTTTGGTAAATGGCATCTTCTTTGTGCAACTAATGAAAAATAATTTTTTTAAGGAGTATTGACCTTGACCTCAGACTTTGCCTCTAGGCTCATCTCTCACCTCTCTCTGGCTGATGCTCCCCTGTGTGACCTGGTCCACCAGCATCCTGTTTCCTCCATTTGCTCATTCTCTCACTGGTTCAGCCGTATTGCTTTCCCCTCCCCTTTGAACTTACCTCAGGGCCTTTGTACTGGCACCTTCTCCTCTAGTTCTCTGCCTTGCTATGTCTTTCCCTGTAGTTATCAGTTAACACAATTACTAACTTCTCTGATAGGCATGTCTGTACTGAGACCCAGAATAAACACATGGGATGAACTGCCTTACCTGACAGTAGGCCTGTGACATACAGCAGTGATGCTTCAGGAATTGTGGCCTACAGTGGCCCTGCAGATCCAAGAGAGTTAAAAGCTTATTAACAAAATCAGAAGCTTATAGGTCCCCAAGATTTTGATTATGCATCAATAGCAAGTTGATATAGAATGCTCTAACTACTCTGTAAAGCACACAATATTAGCTTAGGCAGCAGGTGGTGAGTGTTGAAAAAACTATTCTAGAAACAGGAAAACAACTTCTGTTTGCAAAACCATTGCCTGTGGTAACATGAAGACAGTAGTAGGAGACTTTGTAGATTTATTTATGTTGAAGGCATCAATGATTTGCTTTTACTTCTATTTGACAAAATAATATAAGAAAGAAACGGAAGGAAATCACTGACTTGCAGGCACAGTTTAGGAGTACTTAGAGAGACTAGAACTCATTTAGTTGGTAAACAAACTTCCAGTCAGTGTCTGTCTCAAATTTAGCCTAGAAGAAAGTATCAAATTAAAGGCATGGCTGTATTATCCTTTATTAAGACATCTATAAGAATTAAGGCAGTAGTTAGAAGATCTCAGTTGGACAAATGAAGTTTCCAAAAAGCTTAAGGGCAAGGTCCCTTAAAAGCCTGAGTAGAAGTTCCTCATAATAAAGTCTGGAATGAGAGGCATGTCTTAAAGACTTGTGGAAATAGTTTTGTCAAACAGATGTCACTGAAACAAGTGACATAGAAAATCTGTTTTTTTTTTTGTTTTTTTTTGAAAATCTGTTTTTTTAAGGGAGATCTATTGGCCAATACAGCTAGTACTGAAGCTGAACTATGCAGACTTCTGGGTCAACAACTTTTTTTTGGGGGGGGCGGTCATGGGGCTTGAACTCTGGGCTTGGGTGCTGTCCCTCAGCTCTTCAGCTCAAGGCAAGCGCTCTACCGCTTGAGCCACAGCACCACTTCCGGTTTTATAGTAGTTTATTGGAGATAAGAGTCTCACGGACTTTCCTTGCCCGGGATGGCTTTGAACCATGATCCTCAGATCTCAGCCTCCTGAGTAGCTAGGATTACAGGCGTGAGCCACCGGCACCCGGCTTTTGTTTATTGTTGAGACAAGATTGAACTATATAGCCCAGGCTGGTCTCAAACTTGCTATCCTCTTTCCTCAGACTCCCTAGTGTTGGGACTACAGATGTATACCAAGCTTCAGAATGCCAATTTTTATTTAAAAAAAATTATAGATATTCAGGTTGAAGTTTAAGGGTGCACCCTAAGGATTATAACTTTTAAATAAGGAGACCATAAAGGGGGAGGTAATGATAGAAAACTTCATCCACCTGGAAGAAGCCCAGAACAAATATAGATAATAGTAAACAGAACATGTAAAATAAAATGGTAAAATTAAATCCAATGCCATTAATCACAAGAAATGTAAATGCAACAAGCTGACATGTTGAATGTAAAAGTGATACCAGATTCTATAAAGAAAAAAAAAATCCCAGCTATATGTTAATATTTAAGAAAGAAATGCAGAGTAAATGCTAGATAAAATTTGAAATAAAACAACAACATAAAGTTCTGCTTCTAAAGTGGAAGAGAAAAAAATTTTTAATCAGGCTGTCCACTCCAGTAATTCTGAACAATGAATGCAAACAGTCCAACTATCGGAAGGGTACTGAGAGTAGCGGGTAGAAACGAAGAGGAGGGAGCAAAATGGAAAGGGGACCACACTGGATGAGACTGATGTTTATAAAACTTCTTCCTGTTTGGAAGGATGTTGGAATCCCAGCAGAAAGACAGTTTCATTGGTTTGAGGGACCAATGGGCAGTTTGAGGATGCTCAAATAACTTGGAAGTGCGGAAGGATCCCTCAGAAAGGATAAGAACTAAGAAACAAAAAAGAAGTCTCAAATCTAGGCTAAACCTCACTCAGACTTGGTTTACAATGCTTGTAGTTGTGCATGTGCAGCACTCTACCTGGGTGCTGATGATGGAAAGTAGCTGGAATGCTGCAAACTCTTGACAGAAATTTTAAGCTGATGCCCTCTGCAAGAGTTGGAAACGGGATTCAGACAAGCTGAATGCCTGCCAGAACAAAAATACACACTTTTCCGAAGCTGAAAGAATCCAGTTACTGAAGGCTCAAAGTGATGAGAGAGCTCGCGTAGCAAGATCAAGGCCTGAGTTCAAAATGCCCATATCCCTGAAAACCATTTAGAAAGAATCCAAGGTCTACAATGATTGAATTCCAATGTCCTAAATTTGATAAAACCATGACTAAAGATGGAAATGTTTATAGCAGCATTATTCCCCAAATTAGAAAACCAAATATAGATCAACAGAAAAACAGAAACAAGTTGAGGTTACCTCTGTCAATGAACTGCTTAACAAAGGAATGAACCTCTGATGAACACAACCAATGCCATGGATGAATCCTGTGTGTCTTACACGAAATGAAAGCAGATAAGCATGAGTATACAATTTCTAATTCCACATTGGTGACGTTTAGATTGGCTCTCATCTTGAAGGAGTGTGGCTATCAATAACTGTAAGGTCAGCTTTTACCCTGCTTGCAATATAGCAAGGCAGGCTCTGCCTTCTAAAAACGTCTGTGACAGACACAAAGGACTTCACTCTCCATAGCACAAGCTTCATGTTTTATGACAGTTCTTCTTGTTCCCTCAGTGTGACAGGGTGATGAACATGTGCTGTATATACAGCAAATTTGTGTCAGAACTAAGGAACACCAGACTTAGGGAACCTCAATCTTTTATAGAAGGCAGTAAATCAGCTTCCCTATGTTCTAGAAGGAGGTATTATCTTTTGATAGGAGGCAGTAAACACACCTGCCTTTTGCTCTAGAGGGAGATGTTATCATTCTTGAAGGAACAGTGTCTATGTCTGTAAGACAAACAGAAACAGAGACCCACCAAACAGCCTCCAAGGGTGAACTACACCATGTGTATTTGTCAACATTTAATGAATATTACACATATGATCTGTGCATTGCAACATAATTTGTCTCCAAGGAATAACAAAATCCCTACAAATGTATAAAATGAGAACTGGTATGGAAAAATTGAAGATGAAAGGAAAAGAAGAACTTATTCTGGTTAATCCTTTAATGCGGACAGTTTTAGGAAGTGCCAGCCTGCTTAACTCAAGTGGTAGTTGAGACCACATGACAATTACACTAAGCTCCATAACTCAAGGGAGCTATTTTTTTCTATTTTTTCCCCTAACGGTTGTGCCTTTGGCACCCTGTAAACTTGTAAAACAAAGGTTAAAAAAGAAAAAGGAGGCAATGCTTTGACACCAAAGCTATGAGTTAGGCTCTTTTTCTGTCATCTGAAAACCTCTCTGACTTTCACTTCTTCTCAGACATAACTTTCTCACCTTCCCCTCCCACCTCGCTCCTTCAGGAAGTCATACAATGGAAAAAGATCATCTCTTCATTACCTGCCCTATTTATAGGATTACAATTTTAATTCTTCCTTCTTAACAAGAAATGGACATGGGTGAAATAAGTGGGTGAATTTAAGTGAGTCAAATATTTCCTGAGTGGGAATCTAGCGCTGTTGTTTGTGTCCCATGAGCCCTTGGCAGAGGTCATTTTCTTGGGCATCACAGTACTTTTATAGATAGATTTTTTACAGTCCTTACAACAGTGTTGATAAAGTAAGAGTAGCAAGTATTAGCCGTTATTTCAAAATCATTGTGATCTGGAGATGAACTGTGAATTTGGCACTAATAGGAGTGCATAAAACAAATGAGAACATAAAATCGAAATGAACATTGGTGCAATTTAAAAAAGAGCCAAATAAGAGCTTAGGTTGAAAAGCTGGTATCTAACCAACACAAAATATAGAAAATACAGACTGGCTTAAGGAATATCAGCAGGAGGGGATATATACAGGATAAAAATTTATTTTGTGATCATCATGTATTAGGTGCACAGCAAGGCTTGGTTACAGAAATGAAACAAAGGCTTTGTTTACAAAAAGCTTACAACCTACTAGGGGACAGTATTCTTCTAGATTGTAAAAATTATATGTACTCACTCAAGGAAAATTAGACAATAGTGAAAAACAAATGCCCATGTGGTTCTCATTTTAACTTTAAGATATTATAAACTCTGTAATTTAGTGCTCTGCCTGCAATTTGGTGTCCAGCTTGCTCTCACTGAATAGTAAGCATTGTCCCCATGTTATCCCACAGGGTTGGAAGTATTATTACATAATAAATTGGATGTGGTAATTTCTGCCATCTTCATGATCACCACAGGTATTAATGTAGTAAAGTGTGTGATCACTAGACTGGATCTGAAGCCCAGCTTCCCTGTCCTCTGGATCTGTGACCAGAAGCAAGTAACTTCATCACCATATCAGCTACATGTTAATAAAATTGTACTCCCACCATAGGGCTGAAGCTCAGTGGTAGGCCTACCAGGTGCAACACCCTGGGATCAAGCCCGAGCATTATAAAATAAGTAAAATAAAATGAAAACAGAACTTACCTCTGAGGGTTTGCTGATGTGTGTAAAAACAATTAGCCAGTGCCTGACCACCGCCCCCCCCCAAAAAAGAAAAAACCCTATAAAACTACAGAGCTCAATTAATAGAACTATGTTCCTAAGAGTCCGTTTGAAATACTGTGTCTCACCAACACTCTTCCATTGTAGAGCAGCCATAGTTGGGTGTGAAGATGAGACACCAGTTCTTCTATACAATGGTCAATCCATCCCTACATGTAGTGACTAACCATACAAGTAAGCCAGGCATAATCTAAACAGCTCATGGCATTTGATTACAAGATTGGGTAAGAACCAGTGTGGGCAAATAGCTTGCTGTGGTCCTATGAAGATATGGATTTTATTAATGGCTTTTTTCCTAATGGAAACTGCTGTCTTATCAAAGGATTAAAAAATATTTGACAATGATCAATGGTTCTTTGAGCATGCCATTTGTATTTTCTAATATTCTATTTAGATTTGTTTACACAGTTATAGAAGAAATAATAATCTATAGGCTTTATTGTTGTGGGTTTTCTTTTTTGGTGTGTGTTGGTAATAGGACTTGAATTCAGGGCCTCTTGCTTATTTCGCTTTTTCAATCAACCCCACTTCTGACTGTTTGGTGGTTAACTGGAGATGAGTCTCATGGACTTTCCTGCCCAGGCTAGCTTCTGACCTTAATCCTTAGCTCTCAGCCTCCTGAGTAGGTAGGATTATACGCATAAACCACTGGTGCAGGACTTACAGCATTGACTTTAACTGCCTTTTCTTTTTTTTTTTTGGTTTTAAGGTTTTGGTATCAGGAGAACATCAAGTAAAAATGTGCATCTTCATCTTTTTGTCTTCAAGAAAAAAGTATATGGGCCACAGGAATAACATAGCTCTCAAAAGTCTAAAGGAGTGATAGAGTTATTTGGGAAGATATAGTTCATTTTCACAAACTGAATGTTGTTTTCCTTTAGTTGGTGATGTTTAAATTTCCTAACTCTTGAGTGAATCTTCTATGCTTCTGTAGAAGATTGAAACAAATGTTTCAACTAGATAAAAAAAGTTTGTCTTTAACAATCTTCATTGTTGTTGTTGTTTATCCTTAGTGTGCCCTTACCTGGAGCATATTTGCTATTTTCAATGATTCCTAAGTACCACATTCATTGTGTCCAGTTCCTATCCTGGGCTGTATGTTTTCATTCACTCATACCTTTTCCTGATAATGGCTCTCAGCACAGCTATTGAGGTGAAGTCTTGATAACTTCTTCCCTAGGCTGACCTTCAGTGATCCTTCATGATTTCTGCCACCCAAGGAGCGGGGATTATAGACATGAGTCATTGTACAAGTTAAATCTTTATCCTGTTATAAATATCCTAAATTATCTAGTGTAGAGAAGTTAAAAGATATCTCTGGAATTCCCATGCTGCTATTCTAATATACCTAATTGATTATGTGCAAGCTATTCCATTTGAGAGAAAAAAAAAACCCTTCAATTTCCTTTTTCTACTCCCACCATTTTTTCTTTTGAGGTGTGTGTGTGTGTGAGAGAGAGGATTCTGGGGTCGAAACTCAGAGCCTGGGTGCTGTCCCTGAGCTTTTTGTTCAAGGCTAGCATTCTATCACTTGAGCTACAGCTCCACTTCCAGCTTTGTGGTAGTTAACTGGAGATGAGTTTCATGGATATTCCTGCCTAGGCTGGCTTCAAACTGAGATCCTTAGAACTCAGCCTCCTGAGCAGCTAGGATTACAGGTGTGAGCCATCAGCATTCGGTTTCTTTTTTCGTTTTTGTGGGTAACCTGTCCATTCTATTTGATCTGTGTTGATGATAGTTCACAGAACAAGTTACAGACTTCATCACATCCTTCCACAATTTTAAGGCCCTTGTACTTCAATCCTATAGTACATGGCAGGGTAAATAGTAGGGTCTGTTCTCTTTACTATTGATTGTAGTTTTACTGGTCAACAGTCCTGTGAGCCTTCTCCTTTCTCCTTTAAATTGTACCTCAGGTACTTTCAGCACCAGGTGGGCTGGACAGAAGCAAATGACTCCATTTTAAGACTGTAAGCAGTTTAAACAGTTTTATCTTAAGTATTTTTTCCTGATTTTTGTCATGTACACAATTTCACTTTTTGTGTTTTTTAGGAATTTGAAAATGAGACATTCTGTTATTGATTTTATTACTTAGATTTCAGAAGGCTCTTAATCTTACATTTAATTATATATAAACAGAATAGATTTCCATTTTCTTTATAAAAAATATTAAGGATTTTACCCTTTACCTCTGTCTCTTTCCTCAAGGAAGAAACTGCTATTTCTCCTTAGCCTTCAATTTATACTGGGGTTATAAACTTCATTTAAAAATTTTGGAAGAGGGCTGGGAAGGTGGCTCAGTGGTAGAGCGCTTGCCTTGCATGCCTGAGGCCCTGGGTTCGATTCCTCAGCACCACATAAGCAAAAAGAAAAAAGCCGGAAGTGGCGCTGTGGCTCAAGTGCTAGAGCGCTAGCCTTGAGCTGAAGAGCTGAGGGACAGCGCCCAGGCCCAGAGTTCAGGCCCCATGACCGGACCCCCCAAAAAAAAAAATTTTTGGAAGAAAACTGGGCAGAGCGTGGTTGTACATGCTTATGACCTCAGCACTTTGGGAGGTTAGGCCAGAGGATTATGAATACGGTCATATAATGAGAACTTATCTCAAAAAAAACCACCAAAAACCAAAAAGAAAGGAAAATTTAAATGTATAAATACTAAAGTGTATAAAGAATAGAGCTCAAAAGTGGTTACAAACATCAATATCCTGTTCAAGAAGGGAAAAGTATGAGTAGCACTTAATCCTCCTTTGTGACCTTTTCTGGTTCTATGTTGCTTGTTTGGGGATTCTATAGGTGGGAACTGCATGTTTCCTTCTCTTTTCTGTGAATTACTTGTGTCATCTGCTGCTGGACTACAGCAGCTGTGTCATGTAATACGTTCTCTTTTGTTCGTTTCTTTTCATTATGTTCATGAGATTCATTAAAACTTACATGCAGAAAGTTAGCCTACAGAGCATCCCATATCCCATCCACCTGTTGATGAACCCTGGACTTGTTTCTAATTTGAGGCTATTAATGTTAAAAACTTTTCCTTCACTCATCCCTTCGTTACCTCCCTTTTTTCCTACCCTCCCTCCCTCTCTCCCTCTCGGTCTAGCCTTGAACTCAAGATCTTTCTGCTTCAGGATCTTGGCTGCTAAAATTCCAGGCATACACTATATAGTACCACTCCCAGATTTAGGGATAGCCTTACATGTTTTTGGATAAACATAGGCACTCATCTCTGCCGGATATATCCTCATTGTAAATAAGGGCTTATGTCTGTTCAACTTTCACAGATCTCAGAAACATATTTTCTAAGGTATTGAAGTCATTTTACAATCCTATTAGCAGTTATTACTGTTAACACATCTGTGGACACTTAGTATGGTCAATCTTAGATTTCATTCTTCATACAACTACAGTGACTAATATAGTAGAATACTTAATATTTAAAAGATTTTTAAACTTTAAACTTACATTGTTGAAAAGCATGTTTTAGTAATTCTTTTTACAAAAGGTAAGAAATTTAACCAATCTTCCATTCTTTTTCCAAAAGAAATTGTCTTTACTCCTTGAGCCATGTCTCGAGCCTTTCTTGGCTTGAGCCACAGTGCCACTTCCGGCTTTTTTCTTTTTGCTTATGTGGTGCTGAGGAATCGAACCCAGGGCCTCAGGCATGCAAGGCAAGTGCTCTACCATTGAGCCACCCTCCCAGCCTCCATTTCTTGTTCAAATATCTTGTCTATTTACCTTATTTGTCGATGAGTTTAGATTTATCTAAGCCAATTTCAGGGAAAGTATCTTTTTACTGCCTACTTGTATGCTTGTGTAATATCCTAGAGGTGGTCAGAATGTTGAAACCATTTGATCTCCCAGGACCCCCAGGAGGCCCATTAGACCTAGAGCAAAAAAGGGTGAGGGGCTGCCTTGAACTAAATTCAAAGTTCTCAGGACAAAGATGCTGGAAAGACTTCCCCGTTACAAATATTCTAAATCAGCCAATATGCAGAAGTTCACAGGTCTTTCTACAGTAATAATTCTGCCTTTGCTGTTCAGCCTGGTTGTCCTGACTAAGGCAAGTCTCTCAGATAGTGCAGCTTCAGGACATCTCATTAAAAATGCAGAATGACTAGAGAGGATGGGTGAGACTGGGAGAAATGGAGAAGAATGATGGAAAGGGTGAGATCGATCAGAATGCATTATACTCAAACTCATTTATTGAATTGGAATTCCTTTGTACAATAATTTGAAGATAAGAAAAATTTTTTTAATGTAGAACTAACCTGTTCTGACAGAAGTCTTATGACTGCCTCAGATTACCAGGCCAGCTTTTCATATACCTAGTATCTGTAACAACCATTCAAACTACACTCATTGCTTTACTAATGAATTGTTTCAATATAAATTTTCAGCCAACCACTTTAAAAGATGTCATCCCTACCACTTTATTTAGCAGAAACTATTTCTAGTGTCCACTATCCTAACCTAATTTCTATGACTGATAGAATTTCTTTTCCCTATTTGATGTTGCCATGGGAATTCTTGTAGATCACTGGGAGGGGAAGGTTGCAAGCATTTATATTTACACTGCTAATTATTATCTTTGGTTTTTAGATAACAAAGCAGGTCCACGTATATACTATTATACATATATAATATTACATATATATTTTCTAATAAATTAGATCACTTCAATGTGAATGACTTTAATCCTTTTCATAGCATTAAAAATAAAAAATCAGAAATGAACACTCCCAAAACTGTGCTAGTGGATGCTAAGGCTGAAAAATGACATTCACTGATTCATGAGAAAAACGAGTTAGCTTTGACATTATCTAGTCCCAGATGGAGAACTCAAAGAAAAGGAACATCTGAGTAAGAACTTTGGTTATCCTATGCTCAGTATTTCTTTCTGATTTCTGTGGAAAACAGTACTTATCATCTTTCTGAATATTGTGTCGCAAATACAACTATTTTCTTAAAACAGTCTCCTGAGGTCCTTCTATCACTTGTGCAGGGGGTATAATCATATAGTTTTTATGGGTGCCACATGGTTGTGGCCTTGGGCAACCTGTAGGTTAGCCAGCCCACCTGAACCATGACATTGTCATATAAGCTTCAATTCATCTGTGACAAGCACATTATTGCTTGTATCTTCAGTGACCGCTCAAATAGATGTCGTTTTTCAATAAATAGCTATTCTTTTCAAAACAGTCTTTTCTCCCATTTACTCAGCTCAAAGTACGATCTGTAATGATTGACCTTCAATTTCATATTCTCACTAAGTATTTGATTTTCTAGCAGTGGTCATACCTTCAGTTCCCAGGATCCATGTGTTCTTGAGTTACTGTTTCTAGAAAAAGAAATAATGCAATCCACTTATTAAAGTTCAGATATGAAAATGAAGAGGACCCCTACTAAAATCATATATAAAAATAATTAGGAAGATTTTCCTTATACAGCTTAGCATCCACATAAGGAAAAAAAATGCCTGTATGGAGATATTCTCTTAAGCAAGACTGGGTGTTATTGTTAACCTTTTTCCTCACCTCAGGCTAGCACTCTACCACAGGTCCGCTTCTGGCTTTTTAGTGGTTAACTGAAAATAAAGAGTCTCAGGGACCTTTCTGCTTGTCTGGCTTTGAACCATAATCCTCAGATCTCAGCCTCCTGATTAATTAGGATTCTAGGTGTGAACCACCAGTGCCTGGCTATTTTTCAGTTTCTTAATGATTAACGGATGCTAAATTGAGAAAATAAGAAATACTTAATTCTTAAAATGTCCAAGGTAGAAATACTTCCACATTTCAATGGAGTACTTTTCAGTGTCTTATAATCACAACACATTACAATACAAAGATTTGCTTTAGGCCAGTGTATCACAAAGTGAACGCCAATGACCATTCTATTACAACTGCTTAGTGTTGAAATTTTTTAAACAAACACCCCAGGTTATTCTCATTGGCACTACAGCCTAAGAACCAAGGATTCAGGCAATGTAAATCCCATCAATTCAGGCTCAGTGTCTTTAGTAACCTTGGAACATGACCCTTCAGCGGTGACATTTATCACCACCTAGTGGTGATATTTTATAAAAGTGGTTTCCTTTTAATACTAAACATGGTCCTAGCTAAATCACATAGAACAAAACTTAGAGAAATAGTTTGATATTTTTATTAACTTTTTATCTAGGCTGAGATGAAACCAATACATTTGACTGAAAATTTCTTTCTATTAGAGAACATAGTTTAGGCTACAATGCTCTGAAGTAGCAAATCTGATAACTGTTTTTACATCTGATATCTAGCATACAAGACCTGACATCAGAAATTTACAAGGAAATTTACACCAGGCTTTATTTTAAATGTCATTTATTATTTTAATTATATACTTGAAAGGTTTATTGAATTATGCTATCATTTTAATATTTAAAAATGAAGCATGTAATTGAAACCAATTATGCTGGCAATTTTAACGACTGACATGTTTTTATGCCTCAAGTTCCTACATCTGAGAAGTAAACATTTAAGTGACAAAATAAGCATCAAGTTACTTCTCAGGTTCTAGAACTTCCTTAGTTAAAGAAAGACATAACTTCCTGGTTTTTAAAACTAAAGATTTAGGGATCAATTATAAGAGACAGAAAAGGAAGTCAAAGGCTGCATGATTGAGAGCGTAAAAAGACCAAGTCTGCTCCAAGGCCAAAAAAGCACTGTTTATGGAGTTATGTTACTGGTAAAGAAAAAAGTCAGCACTAAAAAAGCTAGGTGTTTCATAGGTAGAGCAATCATCTAAGTCTCTGCAGAATTTATAGTAAGGACTCAAAGAAGAAAATGTAATTGAGAAACCCTGCTGATCTCACAACCATCCATTGGGAAAATGATTGGTTTTGTTTTTAATCTAAATTTATTAAATTCACTGATTTCAATGTAACTATAAATATATAGCATAAAACATTTCTAGTGATAACTTTGGCTCTCTTCTTATATTCCCAGTTCATCTGCACATGTAGATAGAAGAGAAATTGTTATAATTTATCCAATCTGTGATGCAACTGATTGAATCAAGTACCTCTTTTCATTATGAAAGAGGTTGTCAATTACACAACCAATAACAAGACAGTTCTATTTATACAAGTACTAAAATGGGAAGAAATAAGCATCTCAAAATCAATAAAATGCGTCAGCCAAATTCTGAACACTGTCTATTTTTTTTCACTCTCATTTCACATAAATAAGTCATGAATTAGTTAAGCACAAAAAAATCTTTATTTTGCTATACATAACAACATATTTTAACTCTGGGAAAACTTTATTTCTTCCACACAACACAACATATTGCTCTAAGAAACAACTATTATAATAGCTTTAGCATTAAGGTTTTGATTCAAAAATACATGTCAGCAATCCCTGATTCCGAGATAAAACAATGTTGTGCAGACTACCAAATATATGGGAAAAAAAAAAAGCTGTCAACTGTCCACAGGGAGTGAGTCCAGTCACATTTTCAGTCAGTCAGCTGAGGGTTATGTCATTATTTAGTCTTTGTTCTGTAGAAAGAACACAATACAATATGAAAATCATCATCTGAAATTAAATAGCTCTTGTATAGTATGCCTAAAATATTAGAAATTGTTCTTTTATTTCAATATAACTAATCTGTTTAATTATAGGCATTCCCAAATAAAGAAAACCACACTTACTCAGAAGGATGATGTAAGCAGGTACTGAATTTCTAGAGGGAAAATGCTGTGAATTAATATAAAAAATCAGATGCCCTAAAATACTAAAATTCCCATTTTCCTCAAATATACTATGCACATAGTATAGATGTTAAATATTTTCAACATTATATTCTGCAGCCAGCTTTTTCTTCTGTTTCTGAGGTGTGGCTTATTTAATCCCAGGCTTATTCCTTAGAAACAAAATGAACTAGCATTCATGAGTTATTTGTGTTCTCTTGACACTGATGACGTAAGTGCATCTCACACACCAGAGAGTTACAATCACATAAAATCTGGGAAAGTCTATCATATTTTCTTATTGAATCCTAGAACAAAATTATTTTATGTGTTGAAACAAGGTATCATTTGCCCAGATTGCCCTTGCACTCCTGGGTCAAGCTTCCTTCCTGTCTCAGCCTCCCAAGTAGCTACTACTAGAATAGAGGCGCCAGGCCAGGCCAGGCCAAAATGTTTGTTTAATGCACAAGAAGAAAGAAAATACCTATTACAGGGATAATAAGATTTACATTTAAAGACCAGTCATGTATATCCTTTAATGTGGGAAACTGGATAGACTCATATTACTTTTCAAGGTAATGAGATAGTATTAGAAAGCTTAGTTCTCAACAAACAAGCTGGCCATCAAGGTAGTTTTGTTCCACTACACTTTTAGTTTCTGATCACTTGAATGTAATTATTTCGGAAAAGATGGTATCTCAAAGATTTCACTGAATGTATTTTAACTCACAAAGCCTTTTCTTTCATTTTACAAGGTATTTTGCTGTCTTATCAACTCTCAAGAACCATGGTGGAGAAAAACACACAAATAACAAGGCCTCAGAAAGGTGAAGAGACCTGCCCAATTATAACAAGTATCAGTGCTGGAATTCTAACTATATGTCAATATATGATCTAACTATATGTCAACAATTCTCTTTCTCTATTTTTCAGACACGTTCTCCCTATATAACCTATATAGGTTGGCTTTGAAATTGAAACCCTCCTGTCTTAACTTCCCAAGTGCTGGAATTACAAGTCAATAGTCTCTTTAAAATGTAAATAACGACTAGGAAAATTCAACCATAAAAGTAATTTCTTCATTTTTCCATATTAGGTAGGATTATTGTCCTTTTTAAGGACAAAGCTACATTGAACAAAAGCAATCATCAACTGTTAACTGTACTGAAATATTTACAGACAGGAATTAAACACAATATTAATATTTTCATTTGGGTTTTTTGTGTGGTTTTTGGCAGTACAGTGTTTGAACTCAGAGCCTCATGCTTGCAAGGCAGGCAGGCACTCTACCACTTGGGCTACTCTGTATTTTAGAGGATAATTTGTCAAAATCAAATTCAGTTTTTATCATTTTGTACATAAACAAGAAAAACTGCTTGCTAATTCTCTCTCATTGCCAATTTAATATTTCTAAGGTTAAATTGCAAACACTGTAGGATGAAATGACATTGGATCTTGTCATTAAAACATTTTAAAAGTAGGATTAATTATAATGGGCCCATCAGGTATTCTGCATTGCTGCCTGCATTTCTTCTATGAAGGAAGAACTAGCCACTGATTTGCTCATTAGCAATGAGCCTGAGGGGATGTATTCTCCGATTTGCTTCTTTACATCACTGGTCAGACGACAACATTCAGGGAGAAGAGAAAGGGATTCATTTGACCTTCAGAAGACTTGAATGATTTATGTGTGCGGGGAAAGAAGAAATCCAGCTTCCTCTGAAACTCAGAATTCATTTAGAGAACTGAAAAGTCTAACTTTAAAGAATGTTCACCCAAACCTCAGAGATCTAATCTGTCATAGAAAAAGAATGAAGTTTGATTCTTGAAAACTAAAGTAGGGTTTGTTTGTTTTTGTTTTTTTAGCAATGATCAGGGTTTTAAAAAAGCACATATATACACACGAAAATATTTTCTGAACATATACTTTTAATGTACAAAGTCATAAATCCAGAAAACACCAATATTTAGGCGCAAAAAGCCCAAGAAACATGTATAATTTGATACTGCTTTTTTGATACTTTATTAATAAGAAATCAAAACATTCTTTATAAAAACTTTAAAAAGTTACCTCAGTTCATAACACAACACACCAACTCTTTCAGCTAAAAATCTTTACAAGTATTTCAATGTTAATGTATACATAAGCACACAGTAAAAAAACCAATTCTTAGTAACTAAAATATTTCCAGGATAAAAAATAGTTTTCTAAGTTATAATGGAAGTAAAAAATATTCCTCCAGTATATGTCAAAAACATTTATAAAAGTTGGAATTGTTTAAGTTTAAAAAATATATTGTAAAAAAAAAACAAAAAAAACTATCCTGTCTTTCTCAGTAAAATATTAAGTGCCTTTAACTAGTTTCAAAATCTTAAAAAAAAAAGTCGATAATTAAGTACAATTACATATATTCCCCTTGCTAGTTGGCTGGTATGTTTTAAAGTTCCAATTAAGCTCTTACCTCAAGAATCAGTAAGTTCGTTGCCGTTTGTTAGACTCTTCTCTTGGGGAATCTGCCAGCATAACTTTTAGTCTGACCCCATTCAGGATCTTGCCATGCAAAGTAGCAATGGCATCATTAGCGCTTAGTCTGTCAGCATACTTGGCATACCCCACATTTTTTCCTGATACAAGGTAAACTTCAATCAGGTTACCAAAACGACTGAAATAAAGTAAAAACATTAGCTGAAACAGATAAATACTGCTGTTCAGTTCTAAAACATGGGGCTCACTCAACATTTTCATCCTTCTTTTTGAATCTAACATCCACTTCATGTCAGTCTTACCCTGTGGACACCTGCCAACAGTGCCCACTCCTCTTTGTTCTTGCTCAGGTCTCTTTCCTCATTCAGATGCCATTATCTTTTCTATCTCCTTGCTTCCTGGCTTGCTCCTCTATAATCCATTTTGTACTCTGACTTCTGAATGATCTTTCCAAAGAAAAATGTCATCATTCACTCCCTAACAATCCCTTTAGTCATTCCCTGATGCCTCCAAGGTAAGAACAAATTTCTTAAATAGTTTTTAGGCATGGCCTTTGGCCTCTTTAACCGTCATATTCTCTCATAAAGGAAATCATCATAATTAGAAAAAAATCATTCAAATAAAGAGTCTTTAAAATAATGGAACAAATCATCTCTACCTTATAGGTGTTAGATACAGGGAGTTTTCAAGACTGGGAGAATGCTGAATTTACTTGTTAAAATAAATTATAGTTAAAAAGAATGGAATCTTCTAGAACTTAAATCTTACCAGAATATATCCTCTAGTACATCTAAAGGTAAAGGATGAGGATTAAACACGATAAAAAGTCTTTCTTTCACGGGAGTTTCAGGAGGAGCTTTTTTTTTGCATGATGGGAGGATAACATCTGTTTGGATTTGAGGCAACTGCGATCCAGAACTTCCCCCAAATTGCTGTCCAAGAGTTAGGAGCAAAGGGAGAAAAAGAAAAGAAAAAGAATTGCACTTCAGGGATTTTTTTAAAAAATTTCAATAAACATTATTTTATATGATCACATGCACACAGGCATTGTACCTTGTGTTTACTTCAGGGAATTTTTTTGTTTTTTTTTATCTATTGTATGTATTTTTATTTTATTTCGCTAGTCCTGGGGTTTGAACTCAGGGCCTAGGCACTGTCCCTGAGCTGCTTTTGCTCAAGGCTGGAGCTCTACCCCTTGAGCCACAGTGCCACTTCTAGCTTTTTCTGTGTATGTGGTGCTGAGGATGCAAACCCAGGACTTCATGCATGGTAGGCAAGCACTCTACCCCCGAGCCACCTTCCCAGCCCCTACTTCAGGGATTTCTAAAAAGAGCTCTAGACCCATGTGTCATGTCATCTATGTGATCTTCTACTATAGCTCTGGACATTTTCTTACTTATGGAATAGACACAGGTTATGTTTATACTGTCTTCATAGTATCATAGAGGTTAAATTCTTACCTACTTACCAGTAATTGTTGCTGACTTGGGTTATTCCAGACCATGGACGCAAGCTGTGAAGCTACCATCTGTGATGCCATTTTTCTAAGGAGACTGGAGACAATAACTGATAATTTAGAAATAGTTTCTGAGGAGTAACTTGTTTTGTGTAACTTCCTCAACCTGAGAAGTCAATTATTTTCTATATCTATCTGTCCAGTCACCATCATGAACACCCGAAGCTTGGCTTAGACACTCCTGGAGTGGTACTTACTCTGTTGCATTACTCCCATCATCAATGAAGTTAACACCCAACCGGTTTCCAGGGGGGTACTGAAATCCATGCAACTTGTACTTTGCATATATAGCTGATGCTACATTAAAATACTGAACCACTCCATGACCTAAAATAGAGAAAATACAGAAAAGAAGAAAGCATATTAATCCCTAACACTTATGTTATACTATATTTCAAAAGTGAAACAATACAGAACCCTCATTATGACACAACTAAAAAAATGCATCAGGCACAACTCAAATGCATCAGAAAACAACATTCTGCTAAGTATGTTTCGTGCTGAATTTTTAAAAAGTGAAACAAAGATCAAATTTTGGTTAAAAATGGACACATAATAGCTTTTAAGAACAATGGAATATCTGTATATGTTCTGTCTAATTACTTTTAGAATAGTGACTTAAAAAAATAGAAGTTTCACCCTGTAGCCCTGGCTGCCAGCTGGCCTCAAAATCAGCCTAAGTGCAAAGATCACAGACATTCAAGAGATTTCAGCTATGGGGACAGATTTCAAGAGAGAGGTGCTGAAGGGAAGGAGAGCCCAGGAGTTGGTGCACAATCAAAAGGTCCTTATGACACATTCATAATATAATCTACTCTTGAGAAAAACACTGACTACATAAATTCATTAAAATGGGATTCTAACTAGATGATGAAAGGTGATACAATGATTTTTTTCTTTTTGGTCGGTCATGAGGCTTGAACTCAAGGCCTAAGTGCTGTCCCTGAGCTTTTATGCTCAAGGCTAGCACTCTACCACTTTGAACCATAGCTCCACTTCTGGTTTTTGAGTGGTTAAGTGGTTAATTGGTTTAAGAGTCTCACTGAGACTTTGTCAGGGCTGGTTTTGAACTGCAGATCTCAGCCTCCTGAGTGGCTAGAATTACGGGAGTGATCCACCGGCATCCAACTCTAATGACATACATTATTCATATATCCAACCAGGGAAATAATGTAACAAGTAGAAGAACAAATATATTTCAACATACTAGGTAACTGCCTAACTAAATAAAGATTGGGTTCTGTTTGGAAATGGTCTCAAGAAGGTTCAGGCAGAAAGTTGTACTACAAGATTAATGCGGGGTAAGGAACAGTGAGGATTTGGGGGTATCTGTGAGGGATGAGGGACTTCAGGTCTGTCCGTCTACAAGCCAAGATTCATTTCTCACTGTAAAAGGGCAAAACCAGGTCTACCTATAGCATTGGAAGCATGATTTCTTTATACCACTCCTCATTTCTAACTCTGTAGAAGCTAAAGAAACAAGTAAAATTTAGATTTACTGGGTGGCCATTACAGGCCAGGTCTCCAATTAGGTATTTTACAATCAGGTATGTTTCTAAATTTGACCTATTCCTTGTAAAGAAGGGATTAATAATTCCACTTTTTTTTTCATGAACATTTTATTAGTATATATTTTTTATTGTAAAGATAATGTTCAGAGGAGTTACAGTTACATAAGTAAGAGTACATTTCCAATGGAGCATTGTTACCTCCTCCTTTGTTTTTCCCCTACCATCCCTTCCTTCCCCACCTCCCCAACTCCTCCCTCTCTCCCCATCCTCCCACCAACAAGTTGTAAAGTTTGTTTTCAACAGTGTCTTGTATATCTCATTGTTAAAATGGGTCAACCTATTTCCTTATTTCAGCATTTTGCTATTTCCCTTCCCCTCCCCAAATTAGAAAAATGTATATACAAGACCACTTTTTTATATTTTAGAAATAAGTATTGCTATGTAGCACCGGCTTCAGAGCTGGGTTATTAATCCCATTTTATAGATGAACAAAAGAGGCTATAGAGAGTGAGCAATTTGCCAATATCTGTTGAGATTTGCACCCATGACTGATGTCAAAGGAATATCAAACTTTTTCCATTGTATCATGCCTTCACTATTATTAGAAAGCACTAATAAAAAAAATCCAAAGCTCAATATGAACATAAGCAATTAACTAGTTAAGAAGTCCAAGTGGAAGATATGAGAACTTTGTTTTGAGACTTAGAAGGACAGATGGAAGCAGGGCATGTGGATGTTTGAAATGAAGGGGAAAAGTCATTTTTCATGACAAAGTCAAGAAAGGGATAGAAAAGAATGAGAACAAAACTGAGAATTTTATAATTCTGCTTTCCATTATGAGATGCTGTTTTTATACAACAGAAATAGAAAATTTTCTATTTTGCCAGGTGCTGGTGGCTCATGCCTATAATCCTAGCTGCACAGGAGGCTGAGATCTAAGGACTGTGATTTAAAGCCAGCCTAGGCAAGAAGTCCGTGAGACTCTTATATCCAATTATCCACCCAAAAAACAGAAATGGAACTGTAACTCAAAGTGGTAGAGCATAAGCCTTGAGCAAAAAACCTCAGAAATAGTGCCCAGGCTCTAAATTCAAGCCCCATGATTGACATAATTAATTAATTAACCAACTAATAAAATTCTCTATTTTGTGGGAGCTAATTTTTTTTTTTTAAAACCAGGTGCTGGTGGTTTCTGCCTGTAAATCCTAGCTACTCAAGAGGCTGAGATTTGAGGCTCATGGTTCAAAGCCAGATTGAACAAGTAAGTCCGTGAGACTCTTATCTCCAATAAACTAAAAAAAACAACAACCAAAATGGAGCTATGGCTTAAGTGATAGAGCACTGGCCTTGAACAAAAACATCAGGAACAGCACCAAAGCCCTGAGTTCAAGCCCCAGGACTGGCACAAAACAAAAAAATTTTAAGTGACTAACTTTCTATAAAGGAGATACATACTCCCAGGGATTTATTAAGGTAGCATTGAATTTTAAAACGTAAATTAGAAAAAAGGAAACTAAAGTCCTTTCACACAAACAGTATCTGACATAAAAAGTACTGGAAAGAGCCATTCTATCACAATAGAGTATAAATAAAAACAACTTGGACATTGTTTTACCGTAACTTGAATAAGGATCTCGCTGAACTTCACAGTATTCTAGTCCTGGTATAATATCGAAAATGCTGAAAAGCTGCTCTTCTGTGAAGGGAACTCTTGATACAACTGACAGGCGTTTGGAGATAGCTTCCTGGCCTCTGTTGTCATTCTTGTCAAAACTTGAAAATTCAGATTGTTGTTCTTCAACAATAGAAGAAAAAACAAATCTTTATATTTCTATATATTCAAAATGTCATGCAACATTTATGTACTAGAAACTAGCCCACTGTACTGAGCAAAGGCACTGTTGTCTGTAGTAAGCTTTTAGACCAATGAAAAGAAAACAGACTACTTTCCTCATTCCCCTACCTTTACTGAATAATACAAGCAGGTGTGTACAACTTAATTTTACAGAAGTAAGATTAGTAAGTAAAATAGAAACACATGGAACATATTTCACTGGAAAATTTATGACCATAACATCCACAGTCTTTATTTCCATCATCCATTTTCCCTGTTGTCTAGTTTCCCCTTTTGTCTTTCTTCCTCTTTCTGAAGCTCTACAGTGACAATACATACATACATGCACACAGATATATCTATATATAATTATTATTTTATGTATTTGGGATATTATACTGGAGTTGGAACTCAGGACTTTGTATTTGCTAGTCAAATGCTCTCTCAGTACCTAGCCATTTTATTTTGTTCAGAAACAGTTTTACATTTATGCCTGGACTGGCTTGGATCATAACCTTTCTATTTATGCTTCCTATGGAGGTAGGATGACAATATAGGCTACCATGTTCAGTTACTGTTTGGAGAGGGGTTTTAGGAACATTTTGCTTGGGCTGGCCTGAGTAGCCAAAATGACAGGCACTGAGTGACTGAGCAGCAGTAGTTTGGGGACAAAATTTCATATGGAACAGATATCTTCTATATGTTTTGGTCATCTGCAAGAAAGTAGAAGTTCACCCAAAACAGTGGCAATGACACAACTTACTAGGCAGATGATATCCAATCAACTGGAAAAGACTATAGTTGGAAATAAGCTCAAATAATTTTCACTATTAAGACATTAAAAGTCATGATCAACTTTTACAGTTAAAGATGAAAGAGCAGTTAAAAAAACTCAAATTAAATAACCTATACTACATAAACTACTACAGGAAGTCAGTTCACTTACCAAATGGAAATGTACTTATCCTTGGTTCATGTCCCAAAGCCTCCTGTCTCATACTACTATAATAATCTTGTTCTGAGGATTCAGACGTTTTATTTTTAGGTTCAGCCAAGATTGCCCTAAAACCTAAAAGAGAAGTCATAGTTATCAAGCACAGCAAATTTCTGGTTGTTAGTGCTTTATAAAGGCAAAATCTCTACAACAGACATCTTTACCAGACCTACTTCTAATTCTTCTGAAATACAGCAAACAGTAAACAAGAAACAGCAAGAATCCCAAACTGTGTCAATGTAGATATGAATGAACATTCATTTACCTGGGCTCAACATTATATAACCCTATTAGGAACACTCAATTTAACCTGTCACCAATATGCTACCTTTGAAATATTCCTAGATTATGTTACCTTTCCCTCCGATTCCTCTGCCTTTTTTTGCTGGTACTAGAGCTTTAACACGGGTCCTTATGCTTATTTGGTAGGCATTCTACCACTGAGCCCCTGAGCTGTACCTAGTCCTTTTCTGCACTTTTTTTTTCTTTTTTCTTCAAGATAGTCTTGTTTTCTGCCTGAACCTGAATGCATTATTTAGGTTTCCTATTGTAGCTGGGATGACAGGCACATGCCTGTGTCTAGCTTCTTCCACTGAGAGTCTCTGGACTTTTCTGCTTGGCTGGTCTGGAACTTTACCAATCCTCATAATCTTAGTTTCCCACATAACTTGGGATGACAGGTACTGCTACTACTATACCCAGTGATTGGTTGAAAGGGAGTTTTGCAAACTTTTCTGCTTGGCCTCCCCTTGAATCTTGTTCCTCCTTATCTCAGCCTCCAAGGTAACTTAAGATTAAAGTGTGAGCCAACATGGGCACACTGTTATGTCTCTGTAATTTAGATTCTTTTCAATCAACTACAACAGTTGGTAACTATGTTGTGTCTTATCAAAGATTCTTAACTGGGAGTTCAGTAACAAGCTTCAAAATGAAGAGAGGTTCCACCAACCCCTGTAATTTTGAACACAATGCTTATACATATATGTGTTCAAGGCCACAGCTTTTACAATTATATTCAGTGGCTTCCATAATCATTATACGACTTCAAAGAGAACAAAACCACCAAGTTTGAATTCCTTCTGTGGAAATCTATACTTAAAACTGTCATTATATCAGCTGTTCTAAAACCTTTATTTTTAAACAATCAACAACAGAATCCTAATGTACACTGCGCTTGAATCCATCATAACCTGTTACATAGTCCCAAAGCACCTACTTAACTTTGTCTAGTTATTTCTCAGTAGAACATTGTGCCTTCATAGTTGCCTTTGTAGTATCAATTGAGACATGTTTATTTCTAGCTTTGTGCTTTTGCTAACACTTTTCCTGTCTACTCCATGCCGAACACAAGGCCTGCCCCCTCTGGATATGTTCCCATGCTCATTTAGTATGCTTCTTCACCACTGATATACTACATCACACGCTTCTGAACCAGTTTGTTTCAACTGGTGAATTCTCACTGAGCTCACTATAAATAGCAGTTACTTTGTCACAGCTCTCTCTCTCTCTCTCTCTCTTTTTTTTTTTTTTAGATAGTGTTGCTATGTAGGTCAGGTTGCCTTTGAACTCATGATCCTCCTTGTTCAGTCTCCCAAGTGCTGGGATTATAGACATTACTGCTGCTCCTGGCAAAAGTCAGTAAGTCAGTAATGTTGGTTTTTGTTTTCCCGATAGTGCTCTCCAGAACTGAGAACTCAAGATTTCATGCATAGAGATTTCAGTAGAGTCATGAGACTGCCCTACTACTGAGTAATTGTCACCAGCCCAAGATTTCAATAAATCTCTATTGTACTAGGGTGTGGGGACAAGACAGATAAAACATATTCTTTGCTTTCCAAAATGCTTTAAAAATTAATTGATTATTCTGTTTTTGCCTCTTAGATCTTACATACCCGGTATAGCTATAAACACCTTTAATGTCAGGATGCCATTTTTGCCATATTTTTCATTTTCATCGTCCCTCTAATTCTATCATGGGCATTTAATTAAGGCTAGCTAGAGGAATTTAGGAGCTAAGAAGCAAACTTTATCGTGGAACTTAGAAGTATCTAAAAATTCTACAGTATTCAAATCCACATTCTTACTTCGATCACAGTTTTCTATTGCTTGTGCAGCTTGTGATGGTTTTAAATATCTTACGTAGCCCAGACCTTTACTTTCTCCAGTGACTTTGTTCTTAATGATGCTGCAATACTCAATATCGCCATACACCTGTAGGAGTTAAAAGAAGTGATTTAAGTGACTCAAAATGAATAGTTAAATAGACAATTTCAGAGCTTAAATTGTGTATTTATCAGTGCTTCTCACATGCCAACTGAAGAAGTTGTTCAAGGATACATATTTTATACTGCTTGTTTCACCATTATGGTGGCTGGCCTAATGAAGTCACTTGCCTTAATCACAGAAGATTTAAATCTTGTAGAGAAAGAACTTATACATGGTCTAGACAGCTACAAAGTCTCAGTCAGTAGTGACAAAGGGCAGGGAGTCTGGAATCAGACTTTCCAGATTCAAATTCTAACTCAGCCACTTATCAATTAGGCCATTTACTTACCCTCTCTGTGAATGTCTTTTTTCTCTTAGATGGGTGAATATCAGTATTTATCTGATTATGTTGTTATCACTTAAGTGATCTATGGTAAGTGTTTATATGTAGCCTAGGATATACTAAAACACTCAATAATCATCAATTATAATTGCTTATCTTCTATTGCAAGGAGCATAAGTAATTGGATAGCCTTTTGAAGAACAGCTCAAAGCATACCTCCAAAAAGTTCACTCACAATGTTAATACTGAGAAATTTGCAGTAATGTTTATTTGTTAATGTTGGAAAAAATCTGAGACATTTAGTATTGGTATGTACTATTTATTCTACAAAATTCTCAGTAACTACCCATCACCTAAATTACTACACATTCAGATAAAATGTGTTACTTATTCACTCAAAAAGATTAAAATGTTACAAACATGTAAAATTAATTTTTTTTCTTCCTATTGGATCAAGAATGGAATATAAGGTTTTAGCATTTGGTATTTCAGAAGCATTTTTGAATTTGCAGAGTGGAACACAGGGCATTTAGAAATTACTCTTTCCTGACTGTTTATTTTCTTTTTTGTCCTCCTAGTACATAGACTTTGGAAGATAGGCAGATTTTTTTTTTTTTTAAAAAAGGAACCTTGTAACTCAAAACAATCCACACATTGCGTTAAAATAATTTTGTGAAAGTTTACCATTGCAAAAAAAGGTTTAAAATTATCTTTAAATTTATTATGATCTATATAATTCAGACAAATAATTTTTTTCCTCAAACAAAACTACTTCAGAGACCCAACTGTAGGATTAAAACCTCAACGAATAAGCTTTTCTCTGTGTAAGTAAAAAGTCAGCATGACCCAAGTACACAGTAAATAGCAGGTCAACCAACTCACACCCTCAGGCTAGCATCACCCCCACAAGAGAGGCAAAAAAGGTGAATGGTAACAAAGTGCTTTGAAATTTTAAAGAATAAGAGCAGGCTCAGGTCTGACAGCAGGTTTAAGTCTTGGCTCTACTACCTACTAGTTGTGTAAGTTTACTTAAAATTCTCTGGATTTTGCACTTTGTTTTTTTGAATGTATATACTACTTTTTCAATTTTTGGTAACGGTGCAATGTTGAAGGACTGAATGACAACAGATGTTAGCTGATTGGAAAACGTAAGAACCTTAAATTTTTCTCGCAGGTCTTCCTCTGTATAGGACTTTGGTATCATAACAAAGATTCTTGTAAGTTCTTCATCTTCAACATCCCGATGACTTCCAGATGATCGCGATTGAGCAATAAAAACCTAAGAAACAGTGTTGTGAGTATGACTAAAGTATGTTATCTACATGTATAAACACGTCATAACATATTCTTTTATATAACAAATAAATAAAAAGCCAGGCACAGCCATTGACTCATGCCTGTATTCCTAGCTACTCAGGAGGCTAAGACACGGAAGATCACAATTCTAAGCAAGCCTGGGAAAAAGTTTTCTAGACTTCATCTTTAATTCATCAGTAAAATGCCAGACTCAACTGATAGAACACAAGCATGATAAAGAAAGCTGTGCAAAAATGCAGGGCCCTGAGTTCAAGTCCTGAGACTGACACAAAAATAGAGGAACAAATTAATAAAACGACTGTAAAAGCAACAAAAAGAAAACCTAATAAACATATACAGCCCTCAAAATAATACCTATTGTTTTCCTTTTCCTAAGATATACTAATATATCACAATGAGTCTGCATGTCTTGTTAAATGAAAGTGCTATGAAATGGGGGGGGGTCTTATAATTTTTTGTAATATTTATTACAGTCATTATCAATCTTTTCATTATCAATTTTCAGGAAAAGGTAATATAATCATATTCTTGTTTATCTTAGTGATTACTCAAATGATTTCATATGAGCAGTCAAATGCATAAGAGGTTCTATTATTCAAATACTACCAATTTAGATCTACTGAAACATTATTAGTAATATTAGAGTGCTACGGATATAATCTGCTTTGTGCTGCTTTAATTTCTCAATTTGTCTTGGTATTAAATTATTCCAGAAAGATGTTAAAAATCTATGACTGAGATTTTAGGCTTGTTTGTACAACTAATAAGCCTAGCTTTAAGAGCTAGTTTTACTCTGTGTGTGTATATGTGTGTGAGTGCACGTACTGACTGGTCCTGAGGCTGGGCTGGATCCTGGTCCTTGTCAGGGCCTGGGTGCTGTCCCTGAGCGTTTTTGCTCAAGGCTAGCTCTCCACTGCTTGAGCAATAGCTCTGCTTTTGGCTTTGTTTTTTTCCTGCCAGGTTGGCTTCAAACCATGATCCTCAAATCTCAAGTCTCCTGAGTAGCTAGGAATACAGGCATGGGACATGGATGCCTGGCTTTAGTTTTACTTTTTAAGAACATTTAGTGGTATTAATTACCATACAAACAAAAGCCCTTGATGGTTTGTCTATATTGTGTGTTTCCTTTAAAGGGGAGGGGGGCCGTATATCACTCAAGTATGAGAAAACCTAGACTCTGGAATACCAGAATAGGAGGCAATAGCCTTGCCAGGACAATGAATTTTAAAAGGCAGGCAATTTTATGTGTTGAAGAACGAGGGCTGGCATTGGTGGCTCACATGTATAATCATAGCTTCTTGGGAGGCTAAAATCAGGAGGGAAGCAGTTTAAGGTCAACAAGAGCAGAAAAGTTTGTAATATCCCATCTGAAATCACAGCTGGCACAGTGGTACACACGTCATCTCAAACTACATGGCAAGCCAGCCCAGAGAGAAAATGTCCACAAGATTGCATCTCAATGGATCAATGGAGTGAAGTTAGACTTGGTGGCAGGCATCTGTGACCCTAGCAACTACAGAAAGCCTCAAGTAGGCAGAGTATAGTCCAGGCACATCATACTGGCAGGAAGTGAGACCCTAACCCTACCTAAAAATAAACTATGAAAAACAGGGCTGGAAGCATGGGTTAGTGGGAGTGCCAACCTACCAAGTGTGAGGCCCTGAGTTCAACTCCCCAATACTGCCAGAAAGAAAAGAAAAGACAAGACAGACAGAGAGACAGACAGAAAGAAAGAAAGAAAGAGAGGGAGAAAGAAAGAGAAAGAGAGAGAGGGGCAGGGGGAGGAAGGAAGGAAAGAAGGAAGGCAGGAAGGAAGGAAGGAAGGAAGGAAGGAAGGAAGGAAGGAAGGAAGGAAGAAGGAAAGAAAATGTTGAAGAAAGAGAACATTAGAGCTATGGAAAAATTAGTTTTACACTACATAGATGTGGGATCCTGCTAATAGAAGGGAAAATATTTCCAGTTAGTCATCAGTAAGCTACACTATGTCAAGCACTATCAGAAGCATTAACAACAGAATACCAAGTAATACAGAATCTGCCCATCAGAATGTCAGTCTAGTGGAGGTACCAGTAAGGAGTGATGATCAATTGGAAATAAAAAAAATGGAAGCTCTAATAACATTCAAAGACAGTAGAGACAAAAGGAGTCTCCAATAAAGGACAGTTCACGTTGAACACATACACAGCCTTTTCCCCCCTATTTGGCAATACTGAGGATTGAATTCAAGGCCTTATGTTTGTTAGGCTGGTTCTCTATCACTTGAGCCATGCCTACAGCCTTACATGAATAACCTTCTAATCGAAGATTTTTCGTCACATAGTTTAATGTCATAAATGATGAGCACTCATAGGTTCTTGTAGGCTGGGAATGTGGTTTCGTGGTAGAGTGCTTGCCTAGCATGTAGGAAGCCCTGGGTTTGATTCCTCAGTACCATGTGAACACTAAAAAAGCCAGAAGTGGTGCTATGGCTCAAGTAGTAGAGCGCTAGCCTTGAGCCACAGAGAGGCTCAGGGACAGAGCTCAGGCTCTGAGTTCAAACCCCAGGACAAGCAAGCAAACAAAAAGTCATTCCTGTAAAACTACAACCAGGATTTCCCTCTAATTTTGAAGCCTATATGCTTTTCCTGAATGTAGTATAACTAGATACAGAATAACTTTTACTTAGCCAATCTTCTGGCTGTAGGCCTGATAACTGCAGTATTTTTTTTTTTTAATCTTGCAAATCCTTTGGAACTTTGCAAACAAAAAATACAAGAGGAAAACTGAACCTAAATTAAGTTACTTTTGACTAGAAGTGCGAAACAAATGAAAGAGAGACATAGCTATGCCAGTGGAGGACCCCACAAACGGTAGGTCGTTGCTGGAGAAGGAGCCTCAACTGTCTGGCCAGGTACACAGCGAGATTGAGTGGGCAAAGATACTAGTTCCTAGCGCCCAGCGTCCCATCCAGCCCCCGAAAGGCACCCCAACCCCACGAGCCACGCTGCCCTCCGCACCCCGGCCACCCGCACCTTGATGGGCTTGGAGTCGCTGGGACCCAGGCACTGCCCGTGCATCTCCTCCATGGCCTTACAGGCCTGCGAGCTGCGGGCGAACTTGACGAAGGCGATGCCCTTGGACTCCTTGGTGTGCTTGTCGCGCACCACCCAGATGTCCTGGATGTCCCCGAAGGGCGCGAAGCTCTCGCGGATCACCGACTCCGGCGTGTACTTGCTGATCACCAGGAAGATGCGGCTGTTGGGCGGCTCGTCCAGGCTGTCTACGCCCGGGCGGAAGCCGCCTCCGCTGGCAGAGCTGCCGGCTTCGTCCATGACGCTCCGCCTCGCGCGGCAAGCCGGGCCCCGGCCGCACTCGGTCCTGCAGGCCTCCACCGAGCCCGCGCCCACTTCCGCGGCCCGCGGCCCGCCCGCTCTCGGCTCCGCTTCCGGAGTCTCGCGTCCGGCGCGGTCCCCCACGCACCAGGCGCTAGCTTCCGGGAGCTGTCTGCAGCGCCCCCTGGCGCCACGGAGGACTCTGGCCGAATCCAGGCTGCTCCCATCCGCGGAAACCAGGTCTCCCCCACAGCCAGAACAGCTCCAAGATTCTTCTCTCAAACGTGCCCTTGTTAAAGAAGATATTCACAAGGCTCGATAGGAAACGTACTCATTACCTTACTCATGTAGCTGTCCCCCTTCTGTACAGTATCTTTACAATACAACATATATATTAAAAATAGAAGATATTCATAACACGTATTAGAGATGGTCGACTTTATTCAAAGAGAGCTGTGGTGGTGGTAGTTTAGAGGATCGCTGCAAAGGGATCTTGCAGTAGGAGACTGGACTTGATTCCAACTTTAATAAGACAAGTGGGGATTTACAAGCCAAGAGCAGGATGAAAGTTACTGAGCATCAGAGGTGAGAGGAGATGAGAGTCTCACAGCCTTTCCTGCCCAGGCTGGCTTTGAACCACGATTCACAAATCTCAGCTTCCTGAGTAGCTCTGAGTGGCTAGGATTACAGGTGTGAGCCACTGGTACCTGACACACAGCCCATTCTTGCAAGAACTTCCCACTTACTCCCTGGCCTGTAAACTCTGCTTTCTTAATAAATCAATACTATAGACCTAACCTTACTAGTTTTTCTTTAGCACCAGAAGCAGTATCCTAATCTTAGACATTGTACGCAAGAACATCTGCAACACTCCAACCACAGTAACAAAACCCTTGGAGCCTTATTTTTTTTTTTTTAATCGGTCATGAGACTTGAACTCAGGGCCTGGGCGCTATGCCTGAGTGCTTTTGCTCAAGGCTAGCACTCTACCACTTCGAACCACAGCTCCACTTCAGTTTTCTGGTAGTTGATTGGAGATAAGAGACTTACAGATTTTCCTGTCCCCATTGGCTTTGAACAGCAATCCTCAGAGCTCAGAGCTCCTAGCTCTGAGTAGCTAGGCCTATAGGCATGAGCCAGCTTGAGCCTTATTCTTGAAAGGTTCCTTTGAATTTATCTAATTCATGCCTTGTTTTTTCAGGGATAAGGAATGTGAGGTTCCTCTCACCGAGTAAGATCCAGAGCTAACTGTCTAATGATCTACTCAACTCCCACAGTACCCCTGTGACAGAAAGTCCCACAGATCCTGGGTCTGCTCAGCTAGAAGAAATTACAGGTTTACACAGTGAGGAAATGTTTCCTGACTTCTAAAGTTTGTTAATGGGCCTTAGTGGAGAGGTCAGGAAAAAAAAAATCCAGCAGAAATCCAGAAACAAGGCCGAGGTTTAGCAGTAGTATTGGAATTAATTGAAAAGCATAAACCTGAAATTGCCTAGGAACAAAGTCCTTGAAAGGTCTAACTCCAGGCTGTGAAGACCCTGGGTTTCTATGAAGTTAAACAGACAAGTATTTATAGTGCACTAACTCAGGTCTAAACTCTGTGCTAGGGCAGGGATATAGATACAGTGTGAAAACAAGAGCCATTTTCCCACCCAGTTGTGTAAACTTGGACAAGCTACTTGGTGTTTTCAGCTACAGTTTCCTCAATGGTAAACTAGAAATATTGTTACCAACTAATTTGGAGAGGTTGTCAACCTTAATAAATGAAGTAATTCATTCATTTAACTTAAAAAAATAAAGGTTTTTTTTTTTTTTTAGATACATGGTATTAAATTCTCGATCTTCTTGCTTCAGCCGCCCAAGTGCTCAGATTACAGGCATGTCTCACCATGCCCTACAACAAATACATTTGTTTACTATGGATTGAGTACTATGATGAACACAAGAGATATTGTAGTAAGCAAAATTGATTTTCTTGTTCCCTTCTGCTACAGTTCACTTTGACTACTACCCACCTGGAAGTTGTATAATTTTCCATGGTAACAGGTATTATGGAGTGTTACCTTGAATGTAGCACTAAAGAAATTGTAACAATTTCTTCTTTTACAGTCAGTCCTAGAAAATGGACTCTGTTTACCCTACAGTTTAGCAAGTCTAGGAAATATATTGTCTTAACTTTTAATTTATCTTTATGTTCCTCAGACCAGTCAAGGTGCATAAAAATAAAATAATGTAATAATTTAACTGATGCAAGAAAATGCTAAGATTCTGAGCATTAGGATTTACAAACTACTGCCATCTAGTGGAAAGCATTTTTTTTAAACTGGACTAGGCAATCTATGTAAAAAGAAAACTAAAGGTTATGTGGCCAGATATACATAGCTTTTGACGTCTTCTGCTTGTCCTAGACATGTACTAGTTATTGCAGATAAGGGAAACCATGGTACCAATGTTTCTTTGAGTCTGGATTACTTCACTTAATATAATTTTTCCAAGTCTTTCCATTCCCTAACAAATGGGGTTGTGTCATTCCTTCTGATGGAGGCATAAAATTCCTATGTATGTAGAATTTATATATACATACATATATATATATATATATATATATATATATCTCACTTTCTTGATCCATTCTTCTACTGGGGGGTATCTGGGTTGGTTCCATATCATATAACCTGATACTAAGCAAAATGAACTCCAAGATAGGGACACAAGAGGTTTTATCTCTGTCGCTGTTCTTTTTAATGTACTTATAATAGACTATGTGATTTTTTTTGTTTCTTTGTATGTTCTTCCCCCATGATACAACCCCTGTTGTCACTGTATTTGATTCTAGTGTCCTGAATCTTGTATATACATTTTTCTAATCTGGGGAGGGGAAGGGAAATAACAAAATGCTGAAATAAGGATACAGGATGACCCATTGTGACAATGAGATGTACAAGACACTATGTTGAAAATAAATTTTACAACTTTGCAGAGGGGGAGCGATGGGAGGGAAGAGTTGGGGAGGTGGGGAGGAAAGGGATGATAGGGGAAAAATAAAGGAGGGTGTAACAATGCTCCATAGGAAATGGACTCATTACCTTGCTCATGTAACTGTAACCCCTTTGTACAGTATCATTACAATAAAAATATATATTAAAAATAAATTTAAAAAACTACAGATGCATATCCTGAGATTTTAGAGTGGTACTTTTTTTCTTAAAGAAAAATATTGGAGAATGTTAGGAAAGTAAATGTACCTTTGAATCATGTGAAATAATTTATAATTAAAATAAAATTAGCATATTTTCTTCATATAATTTAGATAGATTCATTGAGATACAATTCCTGCATCATACTTCAAATTCACCCATCAAAGTGTTCTATCAGAGTTTTTAGTATATTCACAGTTTCATAATTATTACTAATATTTGCCTTCAAACTGGATCTTTTGTCTTTCTCCAAATTGTGTAACCAATAACAAAACTGAGTAGCAATTGAGCAGTGAAAGAGACTTATTGTTGACCCCAAAACAGATGTGGGAAATAAACTTGTAGATCAACTTCTTCACCTTGAGACTTGGCAAGTTATAGACACAGAACAAACTAAATGAGGTGGAGGTAGATTTATAAAGAGAAGTATTGATGTTTTTCTAGAAATAGTTGGAAATTTTCCAGGATTTCTGCCACTGCATCTTTTTGCTACTTTTATGGTTATTTCCAGCAATGACATGCCAATTATCGTGGCACTGGAGGATGTGTCACTTCACATTCAGAAAGGAATATAATGAAGTTAGAGGTTGTGTGATATTTACTCTGGCAGCCATCTTAGATCCAACCAGTTTCAGCTTCCTCAGAGAGAAACTTCTGGACAACAGACATGTTCTTGAAGAGAAACAAGATTATGCTGAGTTAGATATCTATGTAGATAACCTAGGGAGTACTCTAGCTTACACAAACACCATCACAATCAATTTTATTTATTTTTGGTGGTACTGGAGATAGAATTTAGAGCCTTGCTTGCTGGGTAGTCATTGCTACTACTTGAGCCATACCATTCAGCCCACCACCATCAATTTTAGAGCATTTCATGACTCAATAAGGAAAGAGTTATCTTATTTAATTTGACTTTTTAAATTACAACTTTAGGACCATTTTGTAAGTCAGGTAATGAGTACATTTCTTTTTGGACAATGCCACCCCTTCCATTCCTTCCTTTGTTTTCTCCTACTTTCCTTCTCCTAGTCCTGGTCACAAATTACATAGTTTTTTCCCCACATAGTTTCTACTGAATATCATGACTGCATTTATTCTCTTCTCCTCCCATTTAAAATTTTTTAACTTTATTTTATTTTATTTGTTGGTTATGGGGCTTGAATTGAGGGCCTGTGTGCTGTCCCTGATTTTTTTCACTCCACGCTAGCGCCCTACTCCTTTAAGCTCCACTTCTGGTTTTTGAGTAATTAATTGAGAGAAGAGTCTCACAGGGACTCCTCAGATCTCAGTCTCCTGAGTAGCTAGGATGGCAGGTATGAGCCACTGGCACCCAGTTTCTCCTTCCATTTTTAATTTGATTTTTGTATATGTGTGTGTGTGTGAGAGAGAGGAAAAATTGATTTTAGCTCATTGATTCAGAGGTCCCAGGCCAAACTTCACTCCACTGATTCTGGGCCAGTAGTGAGGTAGGACACAATGATGGCAGGAGCATGTGGTAGAGGCTGTTCATCATGGCAGACAGGAAGCAGAAAAGGGAGCAGATGAGGTAAAATTTTCAAAGGCACATCCCCAGTAATCTACTTATTCCAGCAATGCTCCACCTCCTAGTTTCCACGATTATCCAAAAACAGTGTCACTAGCTGGGGACCACTTTTTCAGTCGATGGGCCTGTGAGGAATTACAATCATGTCCCAGGCAGAGACTATAATTAATGGAAAACTGGGGCTGCTGGGTTTGTTGTTTGTATTTCGAAGTTGCTTGGCACTGGTCCTTGTCTGTAGTAAGATCTGTTCTATTTTATTGACATGGTTGGTTACAGGCACCAAATAAAACCATTGGACCATTCACAGAACATGGAGTTACAACTTCAAGCAAGGCCTTGTACACA